TATATATTAACTGTTGTTCAATATTTATTTTCAGACAAAAATGAATTGGAAGCAGCAGAGAGTTTTTTGGAACAAGCGGCTCAATCCAATTTCGTTAGTATTTTTTTTTCTTTTTTACTTTTTTTTTTTTTTGTTTAATAGATTTAATTATCTATTTATTATATAAAGACTAAGTTAATTAAAAATTACCTTGAAATATTTTAGCATGAATTTGTGCAACGGCTCAGCGGTGTACTGGTTACTGGAACAGCCAGTCCGGTTGCTCGTATGGCAGCTGGATTACAATTGAAAAATCAACTTACCTCTAAGGATCAATCATTAAAGTATCAATACCAACAACGTTGGCTGGTTATTCCTGCCGACACAAGAGAATTTATTAAGAAAAATGTACGATAAGATATTTCTTTTTCTACTTTTTCTCTGTTTTTTTTTTTTTTTATTTACTTTTTATTATTACGTATTCATGGTAGCACATTTTTGTTTAATATTAATGCGCTTAATATTTGTTAATTTGTAGCAATTCATAGTAAAGACTTATCCTTGTTATAGATCTTGGGTGCATTAGGAACTGAAAATAATAGGCCCAGCTCTGCGGCTCAATGTGTAGCTTATGTCGCTGTTGCTGAATTACCAGTTAATCAATGGAGCAATCTAATTCCTTTATTAGTTAACAATGTGGTTAATCCAAATAGTACAGAAATGATGAAAGAAGCTACTTTAGAAACTATCGGTTACATTTGTCAAGAAATAGAAAGTGAAGTTTTGGTATCGCAATCTAATCAAATTCTCACAGCAATTATTCATGGCATGAAAGGTTCCAGTACATCCAATCATGTACGACTTGCAGCTACAAGTGCACTCTATAATTCCTTAGAATTTACCAAAGGAAACTTTGAAATAGAGGTCTGTATTTATTTATTAATAATCTAATTTTTGAAATTTTTTACTATATGTAACGATTATATTTAATGCTATATATATATTATATGTATATATATATTATTTCTACTGTTGTATTTACAGTCTGAGAGGAACTTTATTATGGAAGTAGTGTGTGAAGCAACACAATCTACAAATACACAAGTAAAAGTAGCAGCTTTACAATGCCTCGTCAAAATTATGTCATTGTATTATCAGTATATGGAACTTTACATGGCACCAGCATTGTTTCCTGTAAGTAATATTATCATAATTTACATAATTGCATTGACAACAATTAACTAAATTTATCATATCTCACACAGATTACTCTGGAAGCTATGAAATCAGATATTGACGAGGTTGCACTGCAGGGAATTGAATTTTGGTCCAATGTATCGGACGAAGAAGTTGATTTAGCTTTGGAAGAAGGAGATGCTTCTGAAGTTGGTCGACCACCATTAAAAGTTTCAAGGCACTACGCGAAAGGTGCTTTACAATATTTAGTACCGGTACTCATGAAAAAATTAACGAAACAAGAAGAATTCGATGATGAGGATGATTGGAATCCTTCGAAAGCCGCCGGTGTTTGCTTAATGTTACTTTCCACTTGTTGCGAAGAAGCTATAGTTCCATTTGTTCTTCCCTTCGTCAAAGATAATATCAAGAGTCACGATTGGAGATATCGAGATGCAGCAGTAATGGCATTTGGTTCCATTCTTGGTGGAGTAGAGCCTGTTACTTTGAAACCATTAGTGGAACAAGCAATGCCTACACTCATCGAATTGATGTACGACAATAGCGTCGTCGTAAGGGACACCACAGCGTGGACGTTCGGTCGTATTTGCGAAATCATTCCAGAAGCCGCTATTAACGAAACATATTTGAAACCTTTATTGGAATCTTTAGTAAACGGACTTAAGACAGAACCTCGTGTAGCTGCGAACGTATGTTGGGCCTTTACTGGTCTTGCACAAGCTAGTTATGAATCTGCTTGCGAGGACGAGCATCAGCCAGAAACTTACTGTATGTCTCAATACTTTGATTACATCATTCAAAGATTATTAGAAACTACAGACCGACTAGATGGAGCTCAAGCAAACTTGAGATCAGCAGCTTATGAGGCTCTGATGGAAATGGTTAAAAACTCTCCTCGGGATTGTTACGTTACTGTGCAAAAAACGACAATGGTAATTTTGGATAGGTTGCAACAAGTATTACAAATGGAAAACCATATACAAAGTCATACAGATCGAGCACAGTACAACGATCTTCAATCATTACTCTGTGCTACTTTACAATCTGTATTACGTAAAGTAACTCCTGAAGATGCGCCTCAAATATCCGACGTAATAATGACGGCTCTATTATCGATGTTTAATTCGAATTCTTGCAAAGCTGGGGGCGTACAAGAGGACGCTCTCATGGCCGTCTCTACGTTGGTCGAAGTATTGGGAGAGCGTTTCTTAAAATACATGGATGTATTTAAACCATACCTATGTCTTGGCCTGAAAAATCATGCAGAGTATCAAGTTTGTTGCGTTGCTGTAGGCCTTACTGGAGATATTTGTCGTGCACTTAAAAGTAAAATAATTCCATATTGCGATGAGATAATGACCCTTCTATTGGAGAATCTAGGAAATAATACGGTTCATCGTTCTGTCAAGCCTCAAATATTTTCAGTCTTTGGTGATATTGCTCTTAGTATTGGTCCAGAATTCAAGAAGTATCTAGATGTTGTTTTGCAAACATTGGTACAGGCCTCGCAGGCGAACGTCGATAGATCCGATTACGACATGGTCGATTATCTTAATGAATTACGCGAGGGCGTATTAGAAGCATATACAGGAATAGTGCAAGGTTTCCGCGGAGATTCAACAAATGCATGTCCTGAAGCCGAAATTGCATTGGTCGAACCGCACGTCCCGTACATCATTCAATTTATCACCTTGATAGCTCAAGATGGCGAGCATTCCGAAGGCAACATATCGGCTGCGCTTGGTCTTATCGGCGACCTCGTCTCCGTTTTTGGAGCAAAATTATTGCCGATGGTGGAAACCGAGCCGCTTAACGAATTATTAATGAAGGGTAGAAAATCGCGTAACAGCAAAACGAAGACATTGGCCACTTGGGCCATTAAGGAGATTCGAAAGGTTAAGCTTGCTGCTAACAACACTACGTCCAGTTGGTGAGTATTCATCATTATACCTACAAGCATGATAGCTTTATTACAAACGCAATGTCCTCGAGCTTGTTTGTCCCTGCTGTACGCGTGTATGTGAAGTGTGCGTGCGTTTGATGAATCGTCTTTCTTTTTTTCATATTTTTTATTTTTATTTTTTTTATTTCAACATTTTTTTCTTCTTTTTTTTTGCCCCTTTAGCTCTCTTAAGTCTGTGGTACATGCTACTATCTCTATAAGTACGAAAGTAGTAGAGAAAGTGTGAGAAAAGAGGAAATATGTTCGAGCCTGTGTGTGTGTGTGAAAGGGTTGATGGGGTGGGTGGGATTGGGGAAAAGATACAAAGGGTCATATTCAATGCAAGATTAAGAACATCCACGTATGTCCAACTTTTTCTTCTAGACTACTCGCACGATCGCGCCTAGGTACGTGCTCGCGTTAAATGAATAAATAAAATGAACAAAAAAAAATAGATATATAATATATATATTAAATAATAATATATATATATATTAAATAAAAAAAAACAAATGTAGGAATACACTTTTTGCGGGCAACGGTCACTGATATTTGGCTCGCTTTTGTTGTTTACAGATCAGCCCACGGTTGTACTGTTGTGCAATTTGATTTGACTAGAACGCTATCAAACAATACAAAGACAACAAGATTGGATGTTGCGGATGCGAGTTGATGGATGTGCGTGAGTTCCGAAGCGATGAGGATGGGGTGATGAGTCTGCACGTGTCCCTATCTGGCAAGGGTACCGGCAAGGGTACAGGGTCAAACGCAGCCCATGTATGCTCGACAGAGACAAATACCTGTCTGCCGGATGCCGACAATAGATGATTAAATAATACGAGTGCAAATGGATGATGCCAAAATGAGTGAGCCAGGGCCGAGGCCTGCTGAGATGTTCCCGTGATGCAAGTATGCCTGAAAATCGAGTATGCGGCTTCTATCCGCGTGATTGAGAGAACTCCGCGTGAAGTTGAATCCGAGAGAAAGAAACAAGGGCGACTTCGATGGACGTATATTAGTGGGCAGTGAAAGGAAGAGAGTGCGAGATGTTGTATTTGAGAATATATGATGAAAACCACGAAAGAACTGAGAATGTACGCGAGAAATTGAACGAAAGAGAAAGAGGACGTTTTAAATTGCATGTGAGAGAGAAGTATGAGAGAGAAAGAAAAATAGAGAGAGAGAGAGAGATTGTGTATGTATGTATGTATGTATGTATGTATGTATGTATGTATGTATGTATGTAAGTAAGTATGTAAGTAGTGCAAAAGATAAAGAAAAAAAGCGAGCGAGATAGAGAGAGAGAAAGAAAGAAAGAAAGAGATATGAAATGCAGTAAGCATGAGAGAGTGAGAGAGGCTGTGAGAATTTTAGTCGAATTATATGTATCCTTGTTTTATGCACGTCGCACGACGTTATACACATTAACTATATACCATTTTACTTATGTGGATTCTGATTACAAGTCCCACGGTAAGAATATATCGTATCGTGACTCACGTGTAAGAGAGTAAAGTAAGTAAGTAATGCTCAGGATGCGTGACATGTAATTGTGATTTTTGTATGTCTGATAACTTTCCTGTGAGATCATGTGATATGATGATGATGATGATGATAATGATGAGAAGAGTGTGGATTTAAATAAGTAAGTCTGAAAGGAGTATGCGAGAGTGTGAAGAAGAGAGAACGAGAGACTGAGTTCAAAACAAAGAAACAAATATACAAGAAGATTCGTCAAGCTGGTAACCCCTGATCCGATCGTTCTGCGCGCGAATCCAATGATCCGTTGTACGACGATGTGTATGTTCATTTTCCTCCCTCCCCTCCCATTCCACCACATCCAACCCCACCCACACCCTCTAACCGTATGCGAATGTCTGTTGCTATATTGATTCATTAAAATTAATATTTTGCTGGCAACAAGTGATTTAAGTTGTATCGAAGACCCTTTCGTCTAACCTGAACCGGGAGAAAAAGACGACGACTGCACTCCATCTCCGCTTCTGGCATATAAAGTAGTAAATTAAAAAGAAAAGAAGAAGAGAAGAAGAAAAAAAAAGAAAAAAAAAAAAGACATAGTGCTAAATTTTATGCGATCATAGTACCACCACGTACACTCGTCGTCTCATTCATCGATATTATATATCATTTTTACTATTTTATTAGATATGTGAAACGATGAAATACACTAGTAAAGAAAAGGATAGGAGGGGGTACATTTTCCACTGCCACATCGAATCTATTCTATTTTACTATTTACTATTTAATCGTTTATATTCTTTCTTAAACGAGAGAGAGAGAGAGAGAACTACTTTTTCGACTCTTCCTTTTTTTTCTTAAATGGCGATACATACATCCTTCGCAAAATGTATTTTCCTTTATGGTTTATCAATTAATTTCGCGAAGAATATGAAAAGAAAAAGAAGAAGAAAAATAAACCAACACACAACAACAATATAATAATATATTAATAATAATAAATAATAATATTGTCTTCCTGGATTCGTGGCACGCAACGAAAGTGGAAGAAGGTACTTCGTTCGATGTGTTAGTATTATGATCGCGTAAAAAAATACGTAGTAGAGGGTAATTGACATAGCCCAGTAAATTAATCTTACCTCAAGAAATGTAATATAATTAATCCTACCGAGTAAAAAATAAAATCGAGTCTCTATGTTGAAAATAATGATGAATGATTCGATTAAATATATGCATCGAAAATCACAATCGATTTTTCTCAACGAAATTGGAATTTTAAAATTCTGGATGGGTGCCTTTTTTTTTTTTTTTTTTAATCTCTTTCCTAATAACTGGGATATTTCAAATACCACCAATTGAGAGTTTTGAGAATTTGATGATCGGAACTCTAACATATATGATATGATATATTTTTTTCTTCTAATATTCTTTGTTGGAAAAATTTTTTTCTTTTTTTTTTTTCTCTTTCTTCCTTGATAAAAAAAAAAAAAAACAACACTCGTTGATTTTCTTTTTTTTTACCACCTTATTTTGTTGCTTTTTATTTTTTCTTCTTCCTACCTTCGGCGCATGTATTTTTCTCGCGAATTGGAATAATCGAGCGGAGGGTAGGTCGCTCTCAGAAGGGGAGAACAATTAATTCAATTGAAGAAAAGAAAACAATATTAATAATAATAATAATAATAACGATACAAAAAAAAAAGTAAAGCAAAGAGAGGAAGGGCCAAATTTAAACCGCGATAAAAAATATGAAGAGATTAATTAAGGTTTTTAATTACGCGGCGGCTGTGGTTGTGCCATGCATTCCAAAAATACCTATTGCCAGTAAAAAACAAAACAAAAAAAAAAAAAAAAAAAAAAAAAAAAAAAAAAAAATATACCCTCCTTCTTTTTTTTTTTTTTTTTTTTTTTTTTTTTCTCTTCATATACATAATAATTCTAATTGTGTTTCACTCCTGTGATGATTTTTGTAAAAGGGTCNTTTTTTTTTTTTTTTTTTCTCTTCATATACATAATAATTCTAATTGTGTTTCACTCCTGTGATGATTTTTGTAAAAGGGTCTGCTGCTTCGTACGCTACGCGTTAGTAGTAGTAATTGTTACACCGTTAGAGAAGACATATCACGCTTTAATTTTTTTTTTTTTTTTTTTTTTTTTTTTTTTCAAGAAAAATAAAAGGATAATCTTGAAAAAAAAAAAACAATGATGATAAAGAAAAGAACAAATATTCTTAGATTCCTCGGTGACGATCAAGATATATAATCAAAAAGAAAAAACAAATCAATAACGTTAGAAAAAAAAATGATTCTCATCGATTGGTGGAGAATTTTTCCACGCAAAAATTGCTTTTGTTAATATAAAAGAAAGAAAAAAAAGAAAAAAAAAAAATATACACGCGTGTGTCGTCTGTCTCTGATCGACGAAATTTTTGTTTTTTTTTTGTTTTTTTTTTTTTTAAATAGAATCGAATTCGATCGACGCGGAAGCACGCGACGAGTATTGTTTATTTCTTGAACATTCCATCAAGCCAAGTGAGAGCGAAAAAACGAGAGAGAGAAAGAGAGAAAGTGGTGTGTCTATGGGGATATGAGAGAAAACTTGAGACAACGTGAGAAATTTGAATGGAAGAGAGAGACTTTGAAAGGAGGGTAAGAAAAGTATGAAAGATGAGAAAGAGAGAGAAAGAAAGTTGCGATGGTGAGAGAGAGAACAAAGATAGAAAAGTCGTGGGGTTTTTTCGCGTTTTTCTTTTTTTTCTAAGTAAAAAAGAACTCGATCGTTTGCCCATTCTTCAAATTCGTAATCAAAATTTATGCTTTTGGTGTATAAATGATGATGATGATGATTTATTAATCATTTGAGTGCCTATCGAGGGTTTTGATTTATAAATTCGATCGAAATAATATCAATCAATGTGGGATTGATTATTATAAATTATCTTAGTGTTTGTAACAAAAGAAAATCTTGAGTTTTATTGACTGCTGCTACTAAAACCCTCATTTTTCGGCACTCAATTGGATTAACACGTTGTTTCAATGTCGCATAAATCGCGTACGATCATTTTGGAATTTTTCCCGGTTAGGTCAGTTGAAATTTGTGACCGTATACGACCGACACATGCGACTTAAACCGAAAAAGTTATTGAAAAATTAGTTCGGCAGAGAAAAACATCCATATAAAATAAAGGAAAATAAATTAGAAGTAAAAAAATCGTCAGAGGACTTGCAATCGAAATGTTGGATCTCGTACTCGTTATCAAAAGCAAACCGCACACTAAAACACACACATATATATATATATATATATATTTTTTTTTATATATCTGTAATTATAATATAATATAAT